CGCGAGAAACAAACGGTGGAGGAGAAACACAAACGCAGGGTAACCAACACGCGGTGGACAAAACAGCAAAAAAGAAGAATTCAAGGCGCAACGGAGCGCTTTAGCACGACGAAGCTTGTAAAATGTCCAACAACGCCCCGGCATGACGCCGTTGCCTCCAGTTCACTTGCAGCGCTCCCGCAACAAACTCTTGCTGCCACCTCGGAGGCGGCGGGTTCTGCGGCAGGCGGGGCAAACGCAGGGGCCCAACCATTTTTCCCTCGTCCGTGACGGTGGATACCACCTCGCAGGTCTCACCGCCACCATCTTGGCCGCCAATCTCGTCGTTACTTCTGCAGTTCATACCTTTTTCATTCCTCGCCGTTACGCAGCCCGCCGGCACGGCTGTTTCTGGCAGCTGCATCGACGCCATCTCAATCGCAAGTATGCCACACGACCAAATATCTGCCGCGAAGGAAAATGGAGCCTCGGAGTCAATTTCAGGTGCCGCGTATGGCGGGGTGCCAACACGTGGAGATGCCTTGTGGAGCTGCGTGCTTGAATTCACGGCGACACTGTCTGCAAAGTCCCCCAACTTCACTCGAACGTCACACAAGTGACACACAGTTCCAATGGAATGGCAAGCACTGCAGCGAATGACCAATAAAAGCACATTTTCAGCTTTAATGTCCCTGTGCACATAGCCACAGGCATGGACCTCTTTTAAGGCCGACAATAGGCCGATAAGAACCTCTTTTTGCTGCGAAAGGCTCATGCGGGTTTCACGAATGATAAGATGATTTATGAAGCTCAGTAGGTTAGTAGGAAAATACTCCATCACGATTCCACCACTCCATCCCAGGCACCGCACCACATGCAAGGAGAGACGAAACTTCCTCAACACCCTGTACTCGTAGATAAGGCTATCTAAATCGAGGCTTGTTCGTGGCACCTTTACGGCACACGTGAGGCCCCCAGCCAACACCCCACGCCGCACCACAGCCGTGACGCCACGACCACATTCCTCCAAGAGATGTATCTTGGCGGCGGAGCGGTGCAGAATCATACAGTGACAATGCGACCAGTCGGAGCTCAACCTCACTGGGGCACACTTGTAGCCAGTCGCCGGCCACATCTCCAACTTGTGCGGACTCAGTGTTGCATCGACAAGCACATGACGACTGCCTTCAAGTGGGACAATATTCCAGGAGTGACGCTCCGCGAGGGCGTCATCCGGCCCTTGATGCTCACCACGCACCAGGTAGCAGGGAAGCTGCACCACATCACAGAGGTATTTGAAGAGCAACGCCCGGTGCCGGCACACCCCGTTGCGCACATCCCCCAGGCGCACAACGTTGGCCCCTTGATTCGACGTTGGCTTTCCACGGCGCCGCTTACTCGGACCACTTTGCAGCCGCAGGGCGAGGAGTTCGTCCTCCGCATGTATCCCACCGCTCTCGCCACCGTATGCGCTGGCCACCAAGCACGCCAACACCTGGGCGCACACAACTGTGTCAACAATACCCAAGACCAAGCGCCGTGCCACCCCTGCAATTTTTTTCAATCTTGCGTCCTCTGGGTCTACCACAATGATCTCGCGCTCCACCAACGGTAACTCCTCGTAGCAGTCCTCTGTGAGTAGTTGATTGCTGCGCCCAGGGTCCGTAAACCCCGCAGAAATGTTGTCCTCGGGCCCCAACACATCCGAGGTCCAGAACTTACGTGAGAGGCCATCCTTCTTTGGAATTGGTTTACCAGTGCCCATGACGTCAGCCCCCGCACGACCTTTAAGACTCTGTCGTACAAACACCGGCTTGGACTCCAGTTGCGTTTCTTGGCCCCCTTGCTCTACGCAGAGCAGAAACGTAACCTCACACACCACATCTTGCATCCTGAAAGACTTTACTCGACACCGAAACGAAACGACCTCTCTGCTCTCCAGATGATCAAGCGTGACGGCTGCCCCTTCCTCCGTCTCCTCCCGTTCAATACACAAGACACGCTCTGTGACGTCACATCGTTCCTCATCCAGTACGCGCAGTGAGACCCGTGTACCTGCCAGCATCCAAAACGACCACAACTTTAGGGAGAATACAGACTTCTGATGCAGAATTGGGGGCATGGCATTGACTGCGAGAAGGGTGGCGCCCTGCACAAACTGCAGCGACAACTCGGGCTGAAAGAATTTACACGGATCCGCTCCAGTGATGTTCCACGCACCCAGAAGACCATCGGTGAGCTCATCTGTAGCTTCACTTTGTAAGGAGGCCAACCCACCCACCTCCTTCCGCTGCTCATACATTAGACGCGACACACCGCTTGGGTGAAGCCACCTGTTGCTGAGGTTGCGGGCGGCGAGTGTCTGAGGTGCCCCCCTCCGCTCCTGCAGCCCCTCGTTGCGGGTGAAGAATGCCTCCATGACGAGAAAACTCATTGGGCACAGTGCAAAATGCACAGATCGTCCCACCCACTCCTCCTCCTCGCAGACGGGACGCGGCGGCTCCTCCCGCTCCTGCGATGGAGTAGGCGTTGCAGAGGTGACGTCAAGCAGGAAACCTCCCGTTGAAAACATGTCCCGGGTTGCCACCGCCTCATAGGGAAGAAACGAGCAAGAAATAAACACGAAACGGCCTGAGACGCGCGTGATGATGCCTGGCAACATGCTCTTGGAGGTCAGCAAACCAGACTCATGGAGGTGCACCATGCGCGCCAAGGGCAACTTGGAGCCTTCTTTGTCGCCAGCGACTCCCGCGTTCGTCTCGTCCACGGGATCAATCGTCAGGCAACGGCCCACCGGTGTGGAATGGAAGAAGTTATCAAGGTACTTCCCCCTGTGGTTCCCCACTTCACTTTTCTGGGGCTGCTGCCGCCGTTCTCCGTCGGCAGCGTCGCTCTTGGGCCCTGTGACCCTGAAGAACCATGAAGACGAGGACATGGGCACGCGGTAGCGCCTGGAACTGGCATCCGTTGTTTCCACAACTGCCTCCTCCGTGATCCTGCTGTATTCAAGCACAACAGCATCGAGCATCAGGCATTCCGTTTCGCTCGGTTTCCCCCTCCACCCCTCGTACTTCGTTTTTTTTTTACTTTTGGGTATCCTGCTCGCTTCCTCTGAGTGTGTTTTGTTCTCCTGCACTTTTTTTCCCCTGACCCGCAGCCACCCCGCGCCCAACTCGACCCCGCACGCACAGCAGCTCAGCCTGAGACAGGCGATCGACGGTGGAGAAAGCGGAGGAGGTGATAGAGAGTTGTCTACCGCCCGCCGGCCAGCGCACGACTGAGCCTCGGAAGGAGCCACCACCGTCAGACAGTTTAACACGAATACGCCACACACCCATGTCCACTTCCAAGCTTGCCCATTCCAAGTAAGCAAAAGGGAAAAACAAAACAAGCAAACAAACAAGGGCATATTTCTCATTCTCCTTTCACGTCTTTTGCCTGCAGAGTGGGTTCCGATGTTCGCGCGTCGCCCCTCAGCATCACTGCAACGTGCTCCGCTGCTGGTGGTGTCGGCTCGCCCCGCCGCCCCATTCCGCGCGTTTATTTGCTTTTGCCACAGGGCGCAGCCGCGGAGGTGACGCCGCAGCAGTCTCAGTACCATGAAAATACTCCGCAATGTGGTTAGCACCGGCGCGGAAATACTTTTAACGACACAAACAGTTTGGCTTCGCAGTCTCCACGCTCACCTCGTACTCCTCTCTCTGTGGCACTGGATCCACTGCCATCTCTTACCGTCGCTTCGCGGGGGTCTTTGGCGCAGCCTCCTTATTTGTCTCCGTGGGGGACGACGCTGCCGCCTTGTTGGACCTCTGTGCGGGTGGCTTGCCCTTTAGCACGAGCTCCGCGACCAGGGGCGAGTTGACAACGTCCCCGACGCGGCCTTTCAGGCTTGTCCGCCCCATCAACTCCTCCCGCTTCCGTTGGCAGAGAAGCTCCTTGGCGGCGGGGGCGAGCTCGGCGTAGCCGTCAACTTTGTCGAAATCGCCGGCCCCGCCCTCACGTTTGTCAAATGTTTTTTTTTTGTGTCTTCAAATGTATGCATTGTTCCCCTGCACGTGTAGCGGCATTTTCTTCTTGACGGAAGACTTCACTTGCACGAAGTCTTCGCAGAGCTGAGAGATGCCACTTACACGTTGGCGCGTGCGGCTGTTGGGCGGGAAGTCTACTGCATTTGTTGTGGGCCTTTCAAAAGCGGCTCCGCCCAACGCCCGTCTGCCGGCACCAACGACGGCCAGCAACAGTATACAGTTCAAAATCTGGTTGAGGCACAAGATTCCCTGTATTTCAAGGTACTGGGCGCTGACATCCGCAGGGGAACTCGGCTTCGTCAGCGATGTTATGAAACGCTCAGCTTCCTGCAAATATATAACGCATATATGCATATATGCATAGATACATATATATATATATATATATTCCCATACTGGACC